ACCACCAAACCTTTCACTAGTATTTACTGCTGTGTGACATTCTCCGTGATGTCTCCCTTTGAAGAACTCGAGTGGCACTTCCACGCTTCACAGGAGGTGTGTGAATATTCAGAGCTATTTCTATGCCTCAGTGCATATAAGTGTGTGTTTCTCTTCACTGCTCATTGTGTTATTCTATTTTGCAGACCTCTTTGCTATACTTTACAAGGGAAAAGACATCTCTTCCTTAGTCTGCACATAAAACGAAGCTCGTGAATGTGCTACCAGGTAACGTGTGAATAAAAGGAAATGAATAATTGCTCCATCACAACTAATGATTTTCACATCCCTTCAGCATCCCAAAATACAAACAACGTGAGCCCTGAGCATCCAAGGCTGCACCCATGCCGACACAGGCGGCAGCTCTGAGCCCCTGCATGCAGTGAAGAAAGGCACAGCACGCTTTGAATGGACTCTGCTGAATTCATGGGCAGTCACATCTGCTGAAGGAAGAAAAATGAACTGCATATTAATCTCCTGTTCCCAAAATTTCTCTTGCTCCCTTCCTAAACGATTCTAACGCTTACTAAAAAGGCAAAGTGCTGATAATCATCTTATAATTCCCTCACTTCTGTATGAATTTCATTGTATTTTGAATTCAGGCACTTTTTCCTAACATACACAATTAATAAGTCTTTTCTTATTCTCTTCAGAACATTACTTTCATTTTTCTTCTCATTTAGAGAGCTGCCGCAGTGCTCTGTGTTGCCTGAGATTTGCCTTTATTCCAAAGAATAAGCCTTTGCATGTATATTGCATCGAGATGGAAAATTCTGTTATCAGTTCAGGAAATAGCAGCTGAAGACAGAAGGATTCATTCCTTACAGTGTGGAAGAAGAAAGTGATGCTGAAGCTTCTCTGTAACACAGGGGACATCTGAGTATACTGCTTACTGATCTGGGGTCAGAGGATGATCTTCTCATCCCCAGCACCAAGTGTTTTGGTACCCACTAAAGATCTCCCTTCTACATTACTAGAAACCTAAGTTCTGTGAAAGACATACAGGCTTATTTTCAGATCCCTAAACACTCTGACTGATCTCACCTTTAATCTTTGTGCCCCACTTTGCTCTTTAAACTATTCTGACCATCTGCCCAAGACTCGCAGGGTCTACCTAGCCCCCTAAATCTACAAAATCCCTTTGGGTGCCTAAAGCAGGACACAGACTTGCACGTATCTCCTGAATTTGTCTCTTCTTCCCAGCCTTGAGCACCTTTTGGAAGAACTGGTGGGCACTGCCATAGGTGAAAACAAGTTTTGAGTTTCCTAGAAGGATAAGAGCAAAGATGAACACTCAGAGAAGCTGAGGTGAGGCTTTAGGCTTCATACCACTCAATGGTAACCCACTTCTCAGGGGCAGTCATAAGCTCCTGAGGTTTTAGAGTACAGATAGTAATTACCATTAGCTGATTAGACTATGACCTTGGCTCTAGGATGGTAGTCTAGTGCTGGGCTACTCTACGTAGTTTCAGCCAGGTCTGCTGAGTAACTGCTTAAGAAGGTGTTTCTTTACAGACACCTTTCTGAGCTACCCCCATGCACTGCTGTTGTGGCCAGGAATAGTGCTGGTGCTCTGCTCTTCAGTCTGCAGGGAATGGGAAGAACAGGAAAGAGGTTTCAAGAGGCTCTTAACAATCATCTCAAACCAGAAGCTGGAGAAGAAGTGGTTTAGCAAGTGTCAAGCAGAGCTGACCACCTGCACAGCTTCAACTACGGCTAAATACTAACATCGAGGAGATCTCAGCTCATTCCTTCTGCTACCTTAAAGTGATGACTGTAGGATGGGAACTGCACTTTTGTGCCTTCAAGGGAACTTTCAAGGCTAAACACAACAAAGCCTGGAGAAAGGAACAGAACTCCTCGATGAGAAACCCAGAAAGAAAAAGCTCTGAGCTTAAGCAGTGTAAGTGCATTTACGTATCCCCCTTTTTTACATGAGCATGCCTAATACTGCCTTTTTCTAGAGCACAGACTATGCCCACTTAGGAAAAGCATTACAGAAAACAATCAATAGCTTGGACTTAATTACTGGAGGAAAATGTTAACACATTTTCAACAAATTTATGGACACTGTGAAATGGGATAAACCCAAAAGAGTACGATGCCTTCTAAATACAAACAGAGCGTTTGGCTGTTTATCAATGAAAACTTCTCCAGCATGAAAAAGCTTTCTTTTTTGCCCTTCTCATAATGACTAGAAGATGCAACAAACATGCAAGAACAATCACAAAATATATATGTCTGGATTTATGGAATAATATTGTAAAAATTGAATGTCAACCCATAAGGCTGAAAAGAGAAACTAATTGAAACTGCTTTGTGATTCTCTCTCTTTTTCAGGCACTGAGACTACTGATGGCTGTGCAGAAGGTACATTGAATGCAGCATGAGAACAGGCTCTGTTTCTAGCCATCAAAAAGACCAAGAGCTTGGCAGATTAATTAAGCTCCCAAAGAAACGTCCCTGCTGGTGGATATGGCAGCATATGGGGAAGAAGTGTGTGTTCCAGATGGTGATGGGGAAGAAAGAGGGGTTTGGTAACTATGACTGCTCACCAGCCTCTAAAATCACTACCTGCTGATGGTCTGCTGTAGCAGCACACCTAAAGGTTCTGGCAGCTTACTGTGAGTGTTGTTACTGACACTGAAATGGAGTTTGCTATAAAAATTGCATATGTTTAATAGAAAATTCAAGCCTTATTGAAGTGATACTTATTCCTATCGAAAGGCAGCAGTAGACCTGAAATGTAAAGATTTCCATTAATTTCTGAAGTTTTTAATGACAACCCACTCTTAGAATTCTGAAAATAGATTGTAAAATGTGCAGAAACTGGCAGAAGTCCCCTAATATCGTACAAAAACACTTCCCAAGACCATGGGCAGAGGGAGGGGTGGCAGGGGAATGAAGAGAAAAACACTTCAATCTCTTGTTTTACACTGAAAGATGCACAACAGCATTTTGTTCTTTCTGCCCGGCAAGGCCACTACAGGAAGCAAGTTCCCAAGTCGATGCTGATCCCACCAGATTGTGAGAGATCAACTTCTGGTGGGATGGCTGATAAACCTGTGTTAAGCAGTACCTTGGCAGCAAGACTTATTTATTGCTGAGGCAGCTAAACCCCATTCCATGTCAGCAGCTCATACTGTAGGCTGTATTACATAGAGGGTAAGAAGCTCTGCAGGTGCCAGTAAAACACACCAGAGCTATTCTGCTCATCAGCACAACATAATCACCACCTGCATCATGCTTTTACCATGCAAAGAATCCATTGTGTATGACGTCTCTGCATCTACAGAAGGGAAGCTTGCTTTCCCCTAACCACCGTGCATTATCTATGCTTATTTGAGAGCAAGGGTTGCTCCCACCTGGAAGAAGAACCGTGGAAAAGAGCCTCTGAAAAAGCTGGGAACTTTGGCAAGTACCATGCATACACGGGGCTGCACTCTTAAGCCAATGTACCAGGGTTTTTACATGCAATCACAAGCTGCTACTGCTTGATTTAGAGCCAAGCCTTCCTGCTGCTGTATGAGCTTTAGATCTTCTGTGGATGTGACACAACCAGGGCTGCTGTAAGGCTTGTTCACCTGCAGTCAACACTGCTCTGCTCAGCCCCACAACGCAGATCAAAGCAAAGCCAACACGACTGGCCCAGAAAGGAGCGTTTTGTTTCACACTGTTTGCAAGATCCCATCAGCAGCCAACCCAGGTGCTGTTTTTATTCTGCCCACACACAAATCGATGACAAAAAGCAAGCTCATTCACACAGGTGATGTATTTCACCACCCTGAAAGTCGGGGTTTTCTCATACCCCTCATTTAATGCCACTGCTGTCAAATCCATAACATGTTGTAACAAAACCAGCCTTTATGTAACCTAATAAATAAAAGTCACCAAGGCAATACCCATGCATAAATTTTTAGCTAAAAACATTTTGTTAGAACATGAATGTCCTCTGTAAAGCGGGTAGCATTTTAAAGTAATGTTCTACACATTGTTAATACTTTATTGCTATTCATCACCGAACCATTAATCATGGTGAACTCATTTGGCATTAATGTGGATGTCATGAAGTACTTCTGTTGCATTTCAATTATAACTCAGCCTTTAAAATGCTGCCAGCATTACATGGAAAGCTTTGAAAACTAAATGTGAATAGTCCGTTCAGAGATAACTACAATCACATTCTGGCACAGAGAAGAAACCGTTTCCATCCCTAATGCCTGCACTTGAGGGGATGAGGAGCCCATGGGGTCATGCTCCAACCCAGGGCTGGGTGCAGGTAAAAGGGATCCCAGTGGGAAGCTATGACCACTAAGACCCAGCCATTTTCCTCCCACAGGATGAGGTCAACTGCAGCTAACCATTTCAGACCCATAAAGAGATTTCCCTTTTCCTGTCACCCCTGTGATTCCCCGAGACACAATCTCACTTCCAGAGCTGAGCACTTTGGTATCTTCTCTAATATGTAGAGTCTGTCCAACCAAAATCACCAGAGAACATGTATCTACAACCCACTGTCTTTGGAGGCAGTGCAGGAGCATGTAGAACATCAGAGCAGACCGAAGGGAGCTGCATCCTGACCTCTCTGATAGAGAGTTCAAAAGAAAACAAACCAAAAAATCCCCTCTTTCTGGCCTCAAAAGGCACTGAAAGAGGGAAACCAGCAGCACAAAACACAACATGGACCTAAATTAATACCTCCTTGCCATCAGGGGAGCCCAGAACTTGTGTCAGTTTACCTTGGCAAACTAGGAGTTTCATTCCCTCACCACCAGCAGAGCTTCCAGCAGCATTTTACACACAGACAACAGCACAACGATCATAACATTTCTCATCAGAAACCATTATTAAATGAAGAAAAGACAGTACTTATTAGCTAAGGGAACTTCTTGCACAGAATTCCCATTCTATTTTACCTAGGTCATCAACGTAACACATAAGCACACAGCAAGAATTCCTACCTTGGGAGCTCTGGCATGTTTTCCGCATCTGGCATCTTTGACAAGGCTGATATCGAGCAGCTCAGTCTCCTAGAAGGAAAAATTGCAACACAGATGATTACATCAGTCAGAAAGCCTCGTTGTGCTAACAATGCCCCACTTCCCACATCTGCCAGGGCTTTGCCTGTGTGTCACGATGCCTGTCCAAACTGAGAACAGTTTCAAGGAGTGCTCTATTGCACTTCGGCTACTTTAATAGCAACGCTAAGGCCTTAGACTAATTGGTTTCCTTAAAAATGTGCAGGTCTCTGATGATATATAGAATATATAGAAGCCATGCTTATTTCCTGGATCACTGAATACCACTATTGTTGGGATTTTTCCTTTTCAATACAATTTTAGCATTTTGATGCTAGTCACAGTGTGAAAAAGGCGACGTTACCCACAGAAAACCCTGCCTCTGCAATTGAAAACCTACTTTATCATCACTAGAACATTCTGAAAAGTGCACATAAAAGCCAAGAAGTGTTGTATCTACAATCACAACAGGTAGTGACTACCTCTCAGTAAAAACCACGTCCTTTTGACAAGCATTTCCTAGCCCATACGCTACTCAACTTGTTCCATACTTGGAACGGAACTGGCACATGGTGACAGCTTCTGCTAGGTAAATTCCTGTCCTCCCCTCCACACGTGTAACACAACTCATTTCCTTTCCCTGATAACCTCTTGGGTCTCTACCCTCCCTGCTGGTATCTGGCAGGACAGGGGCTGAGCTGAGCCCATGGTGCCTGGGATGCACCAGCCAGTGCCAGCCCAGGGGGTGCATCCACCCCTCTGGAATTGGCACGGAGCATTTACCTCTCCAAATACACAGCACAGCCTTCGGCCAACATCATTTCCCCCAGTCTCATCCTGCGACATGGCATTTTGGATGTTGCCATGTTGGGTCTTTCTTGAATGGCTTAACATTTATAAGCAGGGAGCATTTGGAAGGAGGAAGGATGCTGGAGACGGGAGCCGTGCAATTCCCAGCTGCTGGATCCCTTGCAAGCACCCACACGGCATTACAAGAGCTTTGCCAGGAGCAACACCAACTGAACTGCGAGACACAGCGAGAACATCTGATCTGATTTAGCACTGCTTGACAATCTTAAAGCACATCTCAATACTGTCCGCTTCATTTACGCCAGCATTTGGACTAATAGCCCACGTTAGCATGGCTCAATTACATACTAAATATTTCAGCAGGAGTAGGACCATGCTGCAATTAGAGCTACACCAGTTCAGTGCATTTCAGCCTTCCAGTAGCAATTGCAAATAATGCGCAGAGAATGTGAAATCTGTGCTGGCCAAAGACACTAATTCAAAGGAGAAAAGGTTGTGTTTTTTTTTCTCATGGACATTATTTTGCCATGAGTTACTTTGCATACTTATTTCTCTTCCATTTTAATGGACCCACTCCTGCACAACTCTCATAGACCTTTGTTGTCTACGAAGACATAAGCTCTACCATCAGATTTCCACACCACCATACATTCATCACATTACCAGTCCCAATTCTCTCCTGTTCTAGTGTCTTCTGAACTTGCACGAGCATTTTTTCCTGTCTTCATCTAACCTAAACAGGGGAAACCCGCCCTTTTGAGATTGTTATTTTTTGTTCATACTTGTCTGAGAGAGAACAAGAGTATCAAAACTTGCAGGGATTAGAAAGAAGTATAGGCAGGGTCATAAAAGGTGGTATTTTGTAAACCTCCCCAGGAAATAACCCAACCTACACCAATAGAGGAGGCAAATGGACCTTTCCAACAGTGCTGCAGCCCCTCACATGGACAGCTGATGGCTGCACAGACAAGCATGTCCAGCTCAGCAGCAAGGGAAATCACAGAATCACAGAATCAGAGGATAGTTAGGGTTGGAAAGATCATCCAGTTCCAAACCCCCTGCCATGGGCAGGGACGCATCACACAAAACCATGTTGTCCAAGGCTCTGAATGATGCCAGGGATGAAGCATTTACCACTTCCTTGGGCAACCTGTTCCAGGGCCTCAGCACCCTCACTGTAAAGAGCTTCTTCCTTACATCTAACCTGAACTTCCCCTGTTTCAGTTTAAACCCATCAGCCCTTGTCCTATTGCTACGGTCCCTAATGAAGAGTCCCTCTCCAGCATCCTTGTAGCCCCCTTCAGACACTGGAAGCTGCTCTGAGGTCTCCACGCAGCTTCTCTTCTCCAGGCTGAACAGCCCCAACTTTCTCAGCCTGTCTTCATAAGGGAGGTGCTCCAGTCCTCTTATCATCCTCGTGGCCTCCTCTGGACTTGCTCCAGCAGCTCCATGTCCTTCTATGTCGAGTACACCAGAACTGCACACAGTAATGACTGCAGTGGTGAAAAAGCAATGCTGATTTTTACCAGCACACATCTGTCCTTGGGGTTTATGATAACATTCCCACATTCATCATTCCTCTCTCTTGAGTCCCAGTGATGCTGGAGTAGTGAAAACGTCTCTATGCATTTTACTTCTGAAATCTAGTCCATGCCACATTTGCGTCTCAAAATGCAGCTTGATACTCCTGCTCCTTGTGCAGCTGCTACAAATTATTTGTCCATTAAACCAGAATTTGTTTCCCTTCCCTGTTCTACTAAAGAAATAGTGGGAGAAGGGAATGTCTCTATTACTCTCTCAAGTTGCTCCTGTGAAACACAACAGTGCCAATCACATCATGTAACCACCTGGGATATAGCAGCAGTGGAAGGAAAACTTGCTGTTTACCACAGGGAAAAAATAAGACATATATATAAAATCAGAGAGAAAGGAGCACTCAGCACATGCCCAGGTTTGCTGTTAACAGACAAGAACATGGTCTTTGGGGTGAGAGGCCAGAGGTCAGATTTACCTCAACAAATAATACACCCTGAAGCAGTGTCTGGCCCCCTGTGAAATACAGGAGCTACAGGCTCCCCTGCTCTACAGGAGCTACAGGCACATGCAGAGCATGTTGTAAAAATAAGATTCTGCTGACTGAAAGGACTGACAAGCACTAAAAATAAAGGCTTTAACAGCAAACACATGAGAGAAATCAAAAATGCTCAAGAAAAATGGGTCTTGAAGATGCTGAGCCACACACGGAGGGAATTTTAGAAGGTTTTTTGTTAGACTGGTCTGGCATTTTAGCTTTCAAAAACAAAGAACAAACAGAATTAATCATTTACTCACTTACAGAAGTGCAACTAGACCTCCCTTAAGACACATACTAAAAGACGCCTTTAAAGGGAATAACACACATTAAATAGAGACACAGAGAAGGAAAAGGCAATGACCAGCACCCCCAAGGACAGCAGGGCGAACCCAAACAACCCTGCTTGGGTCTTCATCCTCCTGGATGGAGGAGAATGAGGAGGTAGAGGGTTTGTTTTGTTGTTATGACTATTGCTTTCAAGCCACGTGCATGCCACCAAGCCACCTGTAGAAATGGGATAGCCTGAGGACCCATGACTTAGCAAGGACAGTCTCAGGAGAACAGGAGAAGAGTGGGGTTTTGGGGGCCTACTTTGGCAAAACCAGCTACAATGTAGAAAAGGTTGACACTTTGAACACTCAACCGAGGGCCTTGCTGCAGTTACATCTCTGATGCAGAAAGAAGGTTTTATGATCCTATCCCTATAATCCTTTATATCTCTGTTTGACAAGACCATTTAATCTGGGGGGACTGTCCCCTCGGCAGTAATTATGGAAGCCACAGGGAAATAAAGTCCAAAGTCTCAGCCACCATCAGGTATCGGAAAGGAGCCATCCAGCTTCCATAAGTCCATCTGATACATATGTCCAGGTCTGCAGAAGCAATAGCCTGATAGCTGCTGTAGCCTGTGCTCTACATTAAGCACAGGATACGGATCCATGTAAGTGCCTTTGCAGGCAGCATTCAGCGGGGCCCCAATAAATCAGAATTCATAATGTGCCATTTCTTAGAAGTTCTTTGGTTCAAAAATACCAAACCTCCTGGAATTCCCGGACCCCTGGGCACTTCCTTTCATCTTTCAAACAGCTAATTAAGAGGACAGAGAGCAACTTCCTCCCAAATGAGGGAAAAGACAATTTCCTTTTTCCCTATTGCCAAACGTGGGCAGACTTTTGTAAAGGGAAAATACACTTAAATCCTGGCCAGAAAAATGCCCCATTTCCTGTGCAGCAAAACAGCCCAAGCCATCCTCTGCTTACGTCAAAAGCAGTTTTGCTACTAAAGTCCTCTGTGCAGGCTTGGAAGCTGCACTCTGTGCTGCACAAGGCACCAAAGCAACTGGAAAAAGAAATAATTACAATAATAATAATAGTAACAATAATAAACAACCCTCTGCAAGTCCAACTTTTCTCTGTTTGAAGACCCCTCAGTTATTGCTGTTGGGACTTACTAATCTTGCAATAGAGTAACCTCTCTTAATTCAAGTGGTAGATCCCTCTAGTAATTTATAATACCAAAAATCTGGAGATGTGAAGTATTCAACCTGCTGTGTTTGTTTTCAATTAGCAGCTGAGATAGGTAGAGATGCATTCATATAGGGCCAGGTTGTGCAATCTCACTTCTATGGGTGAGCACGCACCCACAGAAGCAACGGACTGCACAACCCTCAGTGACTGCTTGAGCACTTATAATTAGGCCCCTCTGAATTTAATATAGTAACAGCAATTTATACCAGCTGAGGATCTGGCTCGCTCCTATTTTAAACTGTCCAAAACGATGCCAAGCGAATCACAGTGTCTTGGGAACTCGCTCGTGACATAACCCCAGCTACAAAGCAGGATTCCTTATTGATCCCACTGGAGAGCTGGTGCCAAATAGCCACCGGCTACACAGAGGGCTGAAAGCAGGACCAAGTGTCCTACAGAACTTCACAAAAACTATGTCAAGGAGACATAGACAGCAAACAGCATTACAACACCTGCACCAGTTAGTTGGTCCAGAGATGCAATTACTTACTTACATCCCTAACAAAACTAATTCCATTCTCCTCTGAGTACTACTCACTGTGGCCGAGTAGTTGGGTATTGCTCTGACCTACATTTGCTCAACCTCTATTTCCACATCCCCTCTGGTCAGATGTTCTTTCTCCCCACTGAATGAACTGTTGCTGCATGCGGAGCACAGTTCTCATGGTCATGCTGCTGTAGCCATTGCCCTTTAGGGATATGGTTGAACTGATGCACAACTAATTAAACCCTGAAAACTCTTTTTCCACTTAGCTTTGAAATCTGTTGCTTCTAGTCTCCAAGCTGAAGAAGAAACTGTGTGCCTGAAAGCTTATCTAACTCCTGCAAGTATGACCACTTGATCTAATAGAAGACAGGCCACTCTGCCTTCAAGGTCTGCAATAGTGCTAGCAAAATAAACTTTGACAAACAAAGCCAGTTTTGTAAACAAGCACCATTTAGTGCTACTGGAAGGCAACATCTGGAGAAAGTTTTCCAAGGGAAAAGGCCATTTTATTGAAACAAAGTTCAAAAAGAGACTTAAGCAACATCTACTGGAATAGTTAATCATAAGGAAATGTTTCTTTAACATAGATTCCATTTTATCATCTTCTAAACACAAAAGCACTGAATATTTCTTGAAGCAAAAAATACATGCATTTCTGGGTTACCCTTATTTTCATTCTGCATTTAAAAAAAATTACTTAAAACAAAACTATAAGTAACTGATTTCCTTACAACATACTAGAAAAAAAGGATTAAGATCAGTATTAAGATAATCCATCCCTGGCAGTCTTCAAGGCCAGGCTGGACTGGGCTTTGAGCAACCTGGTCTAGCAGAAGGTGTCTTTGCCTGTGGCAGGGGGGTTGGAACTAGATAAGCTTTTAAGGACCCAAACCATTCCATGATTCTATAATCAACATCTGAATCTGATCAAGAACAGCTACAAGATATG